GCACAAAATCTCACAGACTCGCTCCCCTTTAAAACTTTTACACCTTCTCAATTCAAACACAGGAAGATAAACCTGAAGTTAAAACATGCCACACACCACAGTGAGCTTGTACGGGTAACCTTAAACATGCAAACTTAGCTCATACAGAAGGATACACATGTACACCGGTCGAAGCTTTTTCTCTACCAAACACACACAGAAATACACACCCAAATACAAAGATGGCATCTAGCCAATTTGCTCTCTGCAGCAAGCAGGTGAGCTGCCCTCTAGCCCTGTTCATTGACCCCTCTTCTGACCAAGTTCAGAGGTTAATCAAGTCCCTACCTGTCCTTGGATATGCTGAGCCTTACTTCTTGGCACGACCACAGGTCAAAGGTCAAATAAACCCTGTCTGTATAATTGCTTGAGGGCCACAGATTGGGGCAAAGGGGTGAAGGTGACAAAGAGCAAAAACCCAGTCCCGTAGAGAAACACTGTAGCACCACGTCGAATACAATTACCAGTGTGTGTGCTTGTGTGTCCGTGTCTTAATGTTTATAATCAAGTTTTGGTGTGTGTGTGTGTGTGTGTGTGTGTGTGTGCGCGCACGTGCGCGCGCGCGCGTGTGTGTGTAGGAGTGTGTGCATGTACGTTTGTGAATCCTCAGGACGTTTTGTAGTACAGTGTGAACATGGGGAAACAGGACATCATCTGCTAAACACAGACAAGGACAAGGATCTTAGCTGGCCCCTGTGGACAGCTGCAGCTGGGAATAATGGGTCTTGGAGAGGCAGGGCCTAAATAATGGATGCTCCTTCCTTTAGGAGACACACACGGTGCAATCCACAACAGCCAGATCAGAATGTGATAAGACCCCCTGTCTATGCCACGTCTGTCACTAAGAAACTGAAGACCACGATACATTGAGGAGTCCTGCAATCTGCACCAGGACAGACAAGACAAGAACTAAAGGTATGACATGCAAAACAAAATGGTTTAACACAAGGTAATTAAGTGGAATCACTAGCACACTGAAGAGCCCAAATATTTCTCTCCACTGTGGTATGACTGTGCTAAATACATTTTAAAGTGTAGAGAAAAGCCGAGAGAGATGTCATAGTCAAAGCATTTGATGTCCACCGGTCTCAATCACTCAGATCTCTTCTTCTTGAAGTTGCTCTGAAGCTGAATATACTGGGAGCAAAAGAACATAAGCAATAGTATCAATCTGCTACTTCAAATGCTATTGGAGTGAGGGCCTCTCTGTCTATCTCTCTCACTGAACATTTAAGAAACATACAATGTGAGATGCTAAAACGAAAAGCATAAAAAAATAAAAGAGAAAGAGAGAAAAGTATTCCAGTCATTTATAAAAATAAGTGGTGCTTAAAGAAAGACGAAGCTCTGTTTTTTGTCCCCTTTGCTCTTTTTTTCCCCTTCTTCTTTCCAGGGCCTGCTGGCCTAATCCCAGCCAGCCAGCCTTGGGTGAACTCTTTGGAAGCTTCTTAAGCCCATGAATGTGCCTTTTGTTCCTGCCATTCCTCCGCTTGGCTGACAGAAAATAGCTAACTGGATTACTGCTAAAATTCAAAGTAAAGTGAACTCCCAAACTTCTATATGGCAAAGTGCTAAGAGAGCGCCCCCCCACCCACCCCTTCACTATCCTCATCAGCATCCCTCCGATCAGACTTTCTATCCTCCCATCCCTCCCTCTGTCCTCTCTTTCTCTCTGTTTCCTCCACCAACATTCCCCTAAACATGGCCCAGTGGTGTGTGATTGGGAGGAGAGGAGAGGGATTAGATAAGGTTGAGAGGTTGCACACTATGAACCCAAGGCTAAAAAGTAAGATTCCTAAAAGCAGTTAAGAGCTTATTAATGTGTGTAAGGAAGCGTATTAATCAACTCAACTCTATCAGAGGGCTGCTCTATGTATGTGTGTGTGTATGTATGTGTGTGTGTGTCAGTCTTTGTGAGTTAATGTAGGAAAAAAAAGAAAATGTTGAAAAGTTATAAATACAGAGCAAGACAGGTGGTAATTCAAGCTTATGATATTTTTTTGTGTAATTTTGGATTTCATTGTATTACCAGGAGTAGAGACATATATTTGAGTGTGTGTGTTTCTGAATGGCTGTGTGCAGGTGGTCTGGCAGCTCAGCGGGAGTTAGAGTGCGAGGTGTAGTGAATAAAAAAGGTTTTTGTGTGTGTGTGTGTGTGTGTGTGTGTGAGTGCATGTGTCTTGGGTGGATGCTGTAAAAAAGAAAGATGAAAACAGCCCCTGCTAAAGAGGTTTGATTTGATCCACCACCCACCCCGACTAACAGAGGTGAAGGAGAAAGATATACACACACACACACAAATGTCAAAACCGTAGTTCCTTTTCGACCTCCTTCACTCTTTTGTCTGCTGGTATGTGTGTGCCTTTGCATTTCTGCTTGTGTGTTTATGTGCGTGCGTGTAGATGTGTGTGCATGTGACAGCTTACTCTGGGGCGGACAGAGGCAGAGCACTGAAGAGTAAAGCAGTGCAAGGGGAGGCGTGAACGATAGAGGCGAGGTCATACACACTAACATCCTGCTGACTTCTGGGTCAAAGGTCAAAATTCAAGGGGCACCAACACAGGGCCAACCTGCTCACTCATTAATCTTTATCCCGAGTCTTGCAATCCCTGCATCTGAGGACAAGTGTATTTGGCTGGAAAACCTAAACCTTCTACATGACCCGTACTTTTCTGGTTAATGAGGATAATTTTGTTTAATAATATTTTATCCATCTCTCTGTTTTAAAATGAATCCACTGAATACTGCACTGGTATGGACTGCTAAATCAATTACCAATGTGCTAGCTTAAAGTATATTAAACAGAGAAGCAACCTGACATGGCACTGGGCTGGTGGGGTATTATATAGTTACTCATTACGTTGTCTGTCCTGACTTCCGTCTCACGGAGTTGGAAAAAGCCAAGGCTGTTAAGCCGCACAGTAGTTCCGAGACACTGCAGTCTCAAAAAGACACACCACTGCGGCATACCTCCCTTGTCTCAATGCATCTGACCCTGTCCAGCATGCATTATGCAGGCATGGGGAAAGCAAGCCGAGCCCAATATCAAGATGTGAATAATATTGCATGCCTCCTCGTAGGATAGGGAAACCTTGGTTGGCACCATGTTAATGATCTGACACTGCTAATGTTACTGAGTGTTAAAGATTTCAGGCAAGAGGATGACGTGGGAGAAAAGATACAGTATATATATGAGAGAGAGAGAGA